CCATTGCAGATTCTCCCAACTTGTATGAACTGAGGCTTTTCCACAATAAATTGTCAGGAGCTTTACCCACGAATCTCGGTAAAACCTCCCCGTTACGGTGGATTGATATCTCAGCCAACAACTTTATCGGTCGAATACCAGAAGGATTGTGCAGTAAAGGGGCTCTGGAGGAGCTTTTGCTGATTGACAATTCATTGTCCGGTGAGATCCCGGCGAGTCTAGCCGAATGCCGGAGCTTGTTGCGGGTGAGATTAGCCCACAACAGCTTCTTCGGTGAGGTCCCTGCGGGATTCTGGGGACTTCCGCACGTTTCGCTTCTTGAGCTCACAGGTAATTCCTTTTCCGGTAGAATTGCAAAAAGTATCTCCGGTGCCTCCAATTTGTCTCAGTTGATTTTATCCGGGAACAACTTTTCCGGTAGCCTACCGGAGGAGATCGGGTTTTTGGGTAGTTTGCTTGAGATTTCTGTTAACGACAACAAATTATCAGGGTCCTTACCAAGTAGCATTGTGAAACTTAGCCAACTAGTTAAGCTAGATCTCCATGATAATCAGTTGTCCGGTGAGCTACCGAGTGGAGTTCATTCATGGAAGAAGCTAAACGAGTTGAATTTAGCACGTAATGGTTTTTCTGGTAACATTCCAGATGAAATCGGGGGTTTATCCGTTTTAAATTACCTCGATTTATCGGAAAACCAGTTATCCGGTAAAATCCCCCTTGGATTGCAGAACCTGAAGCTCAATCGCCTGAATTTGTCGAATAACCGTCTATCGGGCGATATTCCAACTCTGTACGAAAAATCCATGTACAAATATAGCTTTTTAGGAAATCCAGGTTTGTGTGGGGATAATATCGAGGAGAGTCTTTGTGATAGAAAAGACGGGCACAAGAACACAGACTACGTGTGGCTATTGAGATCGATATTCGCGTTTGCTGGCTTGCTCCTCATTGTTGGTCTGATCTGGTTCTACGCCAAGTACCGGAAATTCAAGAATGCTAAATCAATGGAAAAATCAAAATGGACACTCATGTCATTCCACAAACTCGGATTTAACGAGAATGAGATTTTAGATGCCCTGGATGAAGACAACCTAATCGGAACTGGCTCGTCCGGCAAAGTCTACAAGGTTATCCTAACCAATGGAGAAGCAGTCGCCGTGAAAAAGCTGTGGGGCCGCCCAAAGTCTGCTGATGAGGAAAACAGTGACTTGGAGAAAGGGAGGAGTTCGAATTTTCCGGATGACAGCTTTAGTGCTGAGGTGGACACATTGGGGAAAATCCGGCACAAGAACATCGTGAAGCTATGGTGCTGTTGTACCACGAGGGACTGCAAGCTATTGGTGTACGAGTACATGCCTAACGGTAGTTTGGGAGACTTACTCCACAGCACGAAAGGTGGATTGCTGAGTTGGCCTATCAGGTTTAAGGTGGCCATGGACGCTGCTGAGGGGCTTTCTTACCTGCACCACGACTGTTCGCCCCCAATCGTTCATAGGGACGTTAAATCGAATAATATTTTGCTCGATGCTAATTATGGGGCTCGTGTTGCGGATTTTGGGCTGGCCAAGGCATTTGACGTGAATGCCAAGGGTATTAAATCGATGTCGGTTATTGCTGGCTCTTGCGGCTATATTGCTCCAGGTTTGGTTTAGTTGGTAAAAAATTTGTTCTCTGGTTAAATTTAAGCCGTTGGTTTGATCCAATGGCGTTTTTAGTCCTAAGATCTGAATATTTTGCTATTTTGTCCTATGATTTAAAAATTTAACGCATTGCTAATAAAAAATATTTGGGATGGATTTTTTATTGCCATTCAAGTCATGTAATTTTAAATTTTGTTGCAATTTCAGTTCGTAATGGACTGAAATTGCAGGAAAAATACTAAATTACAGAATCAAAATGCAAAAAGTTGAAATTTTGGGACTAAAAATGATTTGCCTAAATATAATCATTTGCCAAATTTACTATTTTTTTTTTTGCCTAAATATAATCATTTGCCAAATTTACTATTTTTTTTTGCATTTTTCAGAATACGCGTACACGCTTCGGGTGAATGAAAAGAGCGACATTTACAGTTTCGGGGTTGTAATTCTCGAGCTGGTGACACGTAAGCGCCCAGTGGACCCTGAGTTTGGGGAGAAGGATTTGGTAAAGTGGGTGTGCACCACACTGGATCAGAAAGGCGTGGACCAAGTGATAGACCCGAAGCTCGATTCTTGTTTCAAGGATGAAATATGCAGAGTTCTTAACATAGGCCTACTCTGCACGAGCCCACTTCCCATTAACCGTCCCTCAATGAGACGAGTGGTCAAGATGTTCCAAGAGATTGGCGGCAGCAGCAATCAGCACAGGGCTGCTGGGAAAGACGGTAAATTAACGCCTTATTACTATGAAGATGCATCGGATCACGGGAGTGTACCTTAAATCGACGAGTTCGTGTTATATTAGGTAATTACTATTTACTAGTATTGTTAAACAAGGTTAAAGAAAAGAAAAATTGAAGTAAAAAAAAAAAAATGATGATGATGATGAATGCCATTTGGGAGTTGTAAATGAAATCAGCCCACCAGAGTTTGCAGGGCCTAATTTGGAAAAGATTGTGCATTTATACCTTTCTGTATGTGTGCTGTACTTGGAATCACTGCTTTTACATTGACAGTGACTCCGTTTTGCTGCATATTATATGGGTTGGGTTGTTTTCGTAGCCTTACTTTTGGTAGGTGAAATGTTAATTTGTTGTCATGATATAGGAAAAAGAAATCCTGAGTAGGGGTTTTACTTTTATTTTGCAGATAATGGAAACTCAATTTCCCCGTGATGTATATTAAGTAGAGTGTATGGACCAGTGGATTTTAACTTCACTGTCTGGGAACTGCTTCACTGCATTTATGATTATGCCTGGGAAGTTCGTCTTTGTAGAGTGGGCATTAATTGGGCTTGATAGCCTTGCCATCTGCCAAGTTGGGACCTGTTTTGAAATCAGTCCATATCTGAAATTCCTTCCTTTTCATATTTTTATAATGGGAGTATTATCATATTTTTTAATATGCAATTATGCATACTTACATATTTAAATGTCACATGACATTTCGTAATAAAAATATTAATATTTGTTCAAAATGTATAATCGATTGATTTATCTCACAATTAGACTGATTCACAGTATAATATTTGTTTATATAATCCGCAGCATGTGCTTCTATAAACTTCCTATTTTCAAGAATTTATATATTTTCTATGTGGTGGTCCACTTGTGGCCCGAGCTCCGGACCCACAGGCCGGGACTAGCCATCAATGCGGCCAACTCTGCCAGTTAAACGGGCCCACCGGCCCGTTGGCAATGTCTAATGCCAAGCTGTTGGACTTGGTTCTTCGGTTAAACTGGGCTTTCTGTTTCTAGCGCTCTATTGGATCAGACTTTTTGGGCCCAACGCACATGACGAAAGAGTTAGGGTGGCCCAAGTAGCATGATTCAACAACAGTATACTATCATATATACAACTTTGAACACGGAACATAAAAAATAATTGAGAAAATTACTTGGACTAACTAAAACATAAAATATTGTATATATATATATATATATATGTATATATTAAAATAATATTTTATAACCATACATATATAAATGAGGCTTCGCCGAGGGAAGGTGTAATTGACCTTTGGCTCAAGGGAAATTGCCTCAACAGAATTATTTGCGTATATATACGAGATTTACGCATTTATATAGTTACCTTTGTTAAAAATAGTGATCGAGTTACAAGGACTAAGATTATCAACTTAGAACACAGTAATTGTATGTTAAAGATAACTATCGTTAGGACTAAGATTGAGTCAAAACACCTAAGGGTCATGAGAACAATATTATCCATTAATTAAAAGGACTAAGATTACCAAGTACTTCAACAGAATTATTTTATTTTACCATAATCATCACCACCTACAAGTTTATTGTTTCTTATTTATTCTATATAAACAAAAAAACTTAAAACAACACAGTAATTGTGCCACCTTGAACATTATAAAGGAAACAATTATATTTTGATGATTAAAAAAAGAAGAAGAAAGGCTTAGACAACACAAATAGTTGCTTTATACACTTATTAGCACAAGCCAGTCTATGTAGTAATCGAGATTTGGTACGCGGCTAAATATCAGACAACACAATGTGAGTGTGTGAAAGTGAGTTGCAAACCAATAAATACTAAGAATAAGATAATATACCTTGCTTGGTAGCATTAGTCTACGCCAAGATAACCAAAGCTTCAAATTGGTAGCAGAATAAAATACAGGTTTGGTGTAATTCACCCTTTGTTACTTTCATAGTAGTTGGTACGTATAAATTAATTAGTACCATTTTCTTTCTCATTTTATTTTTCGTTTCATTTTCTAGTTAAGTACTTCAAATTTGTTTGTAGTTATTTTAACAGATTGCAGAAAGCTTAGGGGACACTTAATTTAGAGCAAAGAGGTGAAACGTCATCAAAGAATCCATCAGGCATTGCCCCAAATCCACTCTACCCCTTAATTCCTTCTTTCTCTTGAGTTGTTTTTCTCATGATTAGCCANAAAAAAAAAAACGAGTTTATGTAGCTAGATCATCCTACATCCATAAAAGTTAAAATTATGAACTACCATTTGTTTTATTCATCACTGCAAAGAATGACACTCTACTTTAGTTCCTTGTGACGAAACTAGGCCATTTATGAAGGGAATTGAATTGCAGACACAAATATATATTGTATTATTTATTTGAGAAAATTGCAATTTTCGTTCTATATGTTCCGCAAAGGCAATTTTTGGTCGCCTTTGAATTGCGATCTTGAATTTGTATCCCTTACATTTGCAAAAAGGTTATTAAAAGTCCTCGAGTCGTCGAAAAATTCTAAATTCCACCGAAAACAATCATGTGAGCCGCACGTGACAGTTTAACGGTCCGTTTAATTTTGTGTGGAACCAAAATTCCAACGTGCCAAGAATAATTGACAAATGACGCGCTAAAATTAGACAAAAAATATTGATTTCCATGTGGTGCCGCTATCAGAAAGTGCCCTCAAGCGGCAGTTCAGGATGGAGTAGCGTACGAGCAAGCAGAGGATCCGGTCGAGCATGACGCTGGCCTCCGAGTTGGCGGTGGGGAGCTGGGCGGCGAGATTCATCGGCGAGAACCACGCGCCTCCATCGTGATGAGAATGGAGGTTTTGGCCTCCAAGTACGTCTAAGGGTCGAGAGCCGAGAACACCTCTCGAAAGGCCTAAAACAGCACGAGGATGGGTCGAGAAACGCATGCGAGCTCGTATGAAACGAGCACGCACAAGGAAGGCCGCTCGACGACTATAATGACCACGTCTCAAATGGACGTTCCATTGGAGGTTTCGGGATGCACGTGAATGGAGGAAGACCTAGTGGAGGTGGCCAAGGCACCAGGTGACTCGCGCAAAACACCGGGTGCGCGAGTCGGGTGCGTGACGCGTGCTGCGCGCACGCGTGTGCAGGCAGACGGACGCGCACAGGCGTAGATGACGCGTGGGCGCGTTGGGCATTGTGGACACTTGGCGACCCGCTGGACGAGAACGCGTGCGCAGCAGGCGAGGCGCGGGATGTGCAGGTAACGCGAGCGAGACCCGCGCGCGAACAGCAGGCAGCAGGCACGCTGGGCGCGACTAGGACGCACGTGCAGGGGCAGCACGGGTTCGACTTGGAGACCAAGAAAACGAGACTTCTAGAAAGATTTTTTATTTGATTTTTTTCTACTTTATTCTTGGATATTCCCACATGTTTTTAATATCTTTCCTAGATAATTTAGGCTTTAAATAAGTTGGGTAACTTTAAGATCCTAGGTTGATTTAATTTCTATAAGTTCTAGTTTATTTCTCATAAGTTTAGACTAAGTTTATATCTTTAAATAGAGGGAAAATTTAAAAATTAGTCCCACAGGTATAGGGGGGTGACATTTTTGGTCCCGACGGAATGCCGAAAATACGAATGGTCCCGCAGCTTTTAAAAAACGATCAACAGTAGGACTTTCTACCCTTTTCCGGCCCGGAAATCCACGTCGCACCTATGTGGCTTTTTTTTTCCACGCTGGCCACATACTGTTGAAAATTTTAACTTTATGCGAAAACCGCTTTATCTTAGGAGCATTCGTATCGAATAATTGAGAATCAAACTGAATAAAAGCGGAAGCATACCAGACTTTATTGAATTGAAAATTCATCTGTTCTTTGTTCTTCAGTTCCATGTGGATATCTACTTCCAAACGATCTTGTTGGACTGATATGGTCTTCCAAACGATCGAACCTTATAGCAGATTTTGATCCGTAGTGTTTGTATAATGTATGTATCTTTATGTGTGTATTCCATATGTTTCTCTCTAGGGGTGGCTAGTCCACGTGCCGGGTCACGGCCTGGCCCGGCCCGCCGGGTCCACGGGTAGCAAGTTCATGACCCTTGACCGGCCCGCATTTTCTAAGGGTTGCGGGTTTGGACCGGCCCTGAACCGCCGGGTCACGGATCCGCCGGTTTTTGGCCAGTTCCGGGCTGGTGCGGCCCGCTAAAAAATATACTGCCGCCCGTCATTCAACCCGCCGACCCGGTCCAGCGGAACCAAAAAAAAAAAAATAACGAACCTTAACCGAACCGCGACCCTACGGGTCCGGTTCAACGAACCGGCCCTGAGGAGGCCGGTTTAGGGCAGGTTCAGTCCGGGCCGGGACCGGTTCGCAGGTCAGTTCCTGGACCGGTTCAGCCCGTGGACATGTCTATTTCTCTCTTATCTTTTTCTGAAGTGAAGATGAGTGCTTTTAAAGGGAGAAAGCACCTCTTCCAAAATCTGCTCGTACCTTTTCGTCGTTTGGGGCCATAACCAAATAAACAAGAATTATATGATTTTCAGTTCGGTCCCTAAAAAATGTCGGGACAAAAAATGTCACCCTCCTATATTTGTGGGACTATTTTTAAAATTTCCCTTAAGTAGATGATGTTAGCCACGATTTTCCGCATCAATTAAGCAATAAAAATTGAACTTTGTTCACCAATTCCTTGTGTTAAGATTCTTTGAGTTTTTTCACAAAATCCTTGTGTCGATCGAAGAGGGGTTTGTCGAATCGTTCGTCATAAGTTCGAGTTGGCGAGGATTCACGGCCAAGCTACCTCATCCTACCGCTAAAAAGGAGGTGTCCAAGCATCCTTGAAGCAACCTATCGTCGAGTAGGCAATCTTCATATCCTTTGAGGCAAAATTGAGCGTCGAGACGCGCGATCTTTATCATGTCGGCCCTCCAGATCAGCTCGAGTAGGTTGAGCTCGATGGCGGACTTGAGTACCATCGGGAGGACGAAGGCGCTCGCTAGCTGCATGGCAAAAAAGAAGGTCTCATGGCAGGAGAATGGCTCCGCCATTGTTGAGCCGCCGAATTTTTCGCCGTCGACCCCATTTTTTTCTCTCCCATTTGTTGTTTTATGAATTTTATTTTTTTAATCTTTCCGCCACGTGAAAATTAATTTTTTTTGTTTATTTTAGCACGCTATCTCTCAATTATTCTCGCACACTTGAATTTCGATTCCACATAGGATTAAATCTACCGTCAAATAGGTCTTGTGCAACTCATGTGACTGTTTCGTTGGAATTATGAATTTCCGTCGAGTCGAGGACCTTTCAGTAGCCTCTTTGTAAATATAAGAGGCAAAATTCAATACCGCAATTCAAAAAGGATGAAAAAGTTGCCTTTGCAAAACATACAGACAATTTTAGTCTATTTTGATCGCGGGGCATATATACCCTTGAGCAAAAATATAAAAATTATAATAAACTGTCATGCACTAATAACAAAAGTAACTTAAGTATAAAATTTACTGTATATACTTTTTTTCAAAAAAAGTTATACATGTAAATGTAATTGACCTCCTCAAAGCAACTTTTGTGAGTTTCAAATACAATTAAGTTGGTCCAAAATTCAAATATTTTAGGTGCCATTGCATTACAATTGAATTAAAAGTCGTCATCTTGAAGGCAATTACTGATAACACTAACCATATATCGGGACAACCTTTTTAACGGTGAGCGTACTTACTGCGTGACCGATTTTAATATTTCACTACAAAAGAATAAAATATTTCAGAAAATTCAATCAAATATTTCAATAATATAGATTTCGATGAAAAATTTCAATTAATATTCCCTCATAGATCCGTACCAAAATATATATTATTTACGAATTAAATTTCCATTCCGAATTTCATTTGAATTTTATTGATTTTAACGATTATTTTTTCAATGATAATTTATTGTAGAAATTCCCGTTGAAATATGCAATTTCTATTGGA